GAAGAGAAACCTAAATAACTCATTTCTTCTTCAGCTGCGTTTAGACTGGCGGTTCTCTTTGATTTTTATTTTACATACTAATTATGTTTTTGCACAACTGCTTTATTTTTCTCATGCAGAAATAAAAAATATATAAATATAGTAAACACAGTTAGTCCAGGTGGTAATGAGTAAAAATAAAACAAAAAGAACTAATATTTACTCTACCAGGTTGAGGCTGAATTAGATATTTATATTTTATTAATGGGACAAAAATATTAACAGCTTTATACACAGTTTCATACCGTCACCTTCCTAAAATAATGGCCTGAGTCTATTTTTTTTACCAAAAATTATTAATGCAGAAAAAAAAAAGTCATCACTTCTTTTTTGTTAAAGGATTAATTAGACACAAATAAAACAAGGAAATCACTTTTGGCAAGAAACCGACAGGTCTTTGTTTTAGGAAGGTGACGACATGTTTCTACTGTCAAACAGGAAGAAAATACTGCCCCCATCTGTTCACACTGTGTATTGCAGCACCGATGGGACTTAATGTGCGGTTGGAGGGAAACCTGAGAGCAGTTTGTGGTTAAAGACAGAAGCCAAGCAGCAGCAGAACGAGCTTCAGGGACACACACCGTCCTGCAGCGGCAGGTGGCTTCCGGCTGGCATCCCGCTGAACCCACTCAGACCGTCTCGGCCCAGAAAATCTTCAAACACATCCCTGAAGGGATCTCCTCCGACCTGCGTGCTCTCCTCCACCCGGACCTCCCGCTTGGTCTCTCCGGCTCGGGTCTTGCTGATCTCGGTGCGCTCGGTGCGGGTGTAGGTGTGGCTGCTGCGGGTGAAGGTCCGGGTCAAACGCTCCTGAGCGGAAACCATCTGAAACCAGTTTCCTGCAGGCGGCAGGCATGAAAGGTGGAGGACAGGAGCAAGAAGGAGATGAAGGTGAGGAAGCAGGAGGCAGGAAAGACAGAGGAAGAGGAGTGGAGAAGAAGATGAAGACAAACTCTACCTGGTATTTTCAGGTTGAGGTCACAGGTGCTGCCCACGGTGGCGATGGAGGGGGCCTGCCGCTTCCTGGTGATGCTTTCCTTCACCCGGCCTTCGCCAAATATTTTAACAGTGAACGGACTTCCTGTTTGGAAACATCAACAACGTTAAACTAAACCGAGTCAGAATCTGCTGCTTTAATCAGTTCTGCCAGTTTAGAAACCAACAGATCCCCGTTGGTTTTTGGGTTAATGCATATTTGTGAGTATGTTGCAAATTTTCTGGAAAAAATGATCAATAACTTTGGGTTTAAGTGATACTAACTCCCACCTGCAGGTGGTGGTATTTCTGTCTCAGCCTGACTTGAAGTCAGGTTACCATCCGCGATTAGTGAGGAACAAAAAACAAAATATTTAATAAAAAATGTATTAATGAGTAAAAAAAAAACACACACACAAAACCAGCATCACAAAAACACGGTGAAACCCTGGAGGGACTGAGTAAGTTAAGTATAATCTGTGTTTTCAGGTTCTGCCTGTAGGGGGCAGAACCAGGCTTTTTGTCTGATCTGTTGCGTCTAAAGGTTGTAACAGCACCTACTGCTCCTGGTGTTTGCTCCGCCTCTTCTGCCCAGCATGCATGTCAGGAGGCAGAGCAGCAGCTTCTGGCTTTACCTGGAACATGCTGGTCAGCGAACTTGATGTTGATGATGTAGTTCCCAGGTTCTGTAGGGCAGTAGGTCACCTTACACGTCCCGTCGTCCACATCCTCACAGTTAATATCCACCTTGCTGGGACCCTCGATGGACAGGCCCAGACCGCCGTAACCTACCAAACAAAACAGACCGTCAGAACCGAAACCCCGACCCAGACTGTGAGCAGGTGGTATGCGTCCTCACCGGCATTCCTGGTGTCCACGATGAATTCTGCAACCTCGAAGGTGTGTCCCTCCACCAGGCCCTGGCCATAAACCTTCACCCTGCTGGCGTCGCCGATCTCTGACTGACCCACCATGATCTTAAACGGGCTGTTAGTCACATGCTTCCCACTTTTCTTCACGCTCACCACATGTTCACCCACTTCTTTCGGGGTGAAGGAGATTCCTGCATGAATGACATATCAGACATCACTTCCTGTGACATGTTGAGAAATGCACAAGGTTTCTGTCCCGTTTTTTCCCAAATCAGATCGATCAAGATGTTTCAGGAACTTTCTTTGCTCCACAGTGAGAAGACCAACTGTTGAAAATGCCAGGTGAGACCTGGACAGGTACCGATGTGTCTGTTGGGAAGCCTCTTCAGGAGACACGGCTCTTCATGGCCAGACGGCGCTCTGATGGTTGCCATCAGGCTGCTCAGGTCCGTCTCTGTGATCTTTAAGGAAACGTCTGATGCAGTGCCAACGTTGAGCTGCGACGTCCTCATGGTATCGTCTCCTGAAGAGGAAGCATGAAGGAGTGAACAGTGAACCGGCCCGGTCAGCCAGCAGTTGGTTCATTCTCTCAGCATGGTCCAGACTCAGACTGATTTGATTTGTTTGTGCCAGAAGAGGTTTCCTTGTGGAGTTTCCATACCCGTGATCTTTGCCATAAACGGGCTTCCTGGGATGTTTTTGTCATCAAACTTGACGATGATGCTGTAGTCTCCGGGCGCGGTGGGCAGGTAGGACACCGTGCACGTCCCGTCTTTGTTGTCTGTGCAGCTGATCTCTGCTTTGGATGGACCTTCAACAGCTAGTGACAAACCTCCTGCAGAGAGGCAGAGGACGCACCATGACGACGTTCACCCGCTTCATGTTCAACTTCCTCTTGACTGAAACATAGAAAACCTGCTTCCTGCTGCTGATACCTTCTCCAGCGTCTTTGGTGACGATGGTGAAGGTGGCCGGTCGGTTCACCGCACCGTGGCTCAGGCCGGCGCCGAATGCCGTCACATGACCGCTGTTGATGGCATCAACATAGAACTGCAGTGGACTTCCTGAAACACACAGGAGGGTAGCAGTTTTACAGAAGGTTCTGGTTCTGCTGGAGGTTCTGGTTCTACTGGAGGTTCTGGTTCCACTGGAGGCTCTGGTTCTACTGGAGGCTCTGGTTCTATTGGAGGTTCTGGTTCCACTGGAGGCTCTGGTTCCACCAGAGTTGAACTTAGCTCCTCCCTCCTACAGCATAAGTGTTGTGTTTAAGTGTTGTTGTAACAGGAAGACATGAACCCAAACGGCCCATCCCACTTGGAGTAGAACCAGAACCTGGAGTGTTTGTAGTATAAACTGGTTTCCCTTCTGACCCATTTAGCTGATCTCAGAGAGGATCAATGGTTCCAGGTCACAGTGAAACATAGTTCAGTCAGTCCAACTGGAGCAGGGAACATCCCAGTTCTGGGAGTCGGAACAGTGAACTGAAATAGGTCCAGCGGACCGGAACGTCTGGCAGCAGTTACCTGGGATGTGGCTTCCGTCGTATCTGATGTCCATCTCATGCAGGCCGCGCTCAGTCGGCGAGTATTTCACCATCACCGTCCCGTCCTTGTTGTCAGCGATGTTTGGCCGAGCCGTTCGACCTGACGGCATTCGGACCTCGCCTGCAGGAAACACCAACTGGGTTTTAACTCGTTACAGCGACTGAGATGTTTCATGAAGTCATGAAGTGTGAGGAATGGATGTGGTGTGTGTCGTACCTGAGATCTCTCCTTTCTGCACGGTGAAGGGAATAACCAGGCTGAAGGGACGCAGCACCGGCTCCATCCCATCCACAGCGCTGACCGGATCGTCTGTTGCCTAAACCGGAGCAGAGGGGAGGTGTGTCACTGGTAGCATACTGGGAGCTTTGGGAACGGGTCCAGAAACAAATGGGAGGAAGATGAGTGGCTGGAAGAGTCAGTGGGCCATCACAGCTGGTTCTGACCAGGCAGAACCAAAACCATGAAGAGATTAAATGAACTTAAAGCGAAGCTTTGGTTATTTCAGCCCAGCAGGTTTTCATGCAGCAGCTGGCAGAGGATGGATCAGGGAATCTGGGTTGTTATTGACCATGAGGTGTCAGTGACACAGAGTCGGTCTGCAGCAGCAGATTAACGGCAGCGTTGATACCCAGTGAGGGGAGAAGCCTGCGTAGGGCGAGTAGGGCTGCTGCAACTGAACCTTGTCACATGGTTCTTCGATTATTGGCACAGTTTCACTCGCCTGATGAGAACAAGATGCAGCAGTTAGAGCAAACACAACAGTTAGCTGAAGGCAAACACCTAAATAAACCTCCACTCAGGCTGAACTCAGCAGGTTCAGTCAGTCGGAGGCTGATTACTCAGATTATCCACTGAAAACGAAGAAAACAGATAATATTAAACAGGAACTAATTTATTTTAATCAATGTATCATTAATTAAACTTCCAGGAAAAAATGTCTGAAGTTTCCACTGAATGGACAAATGGGTTCCCAGACTAAACCCAACTCAAACTAACCCAAACCAGGACTAACCAGAAAACCCCAACAACACTAAACCCAACCAAACCAAAACTCAACCTAAACCAGGAATAAATCCAACCCAACAGAAACTAGGACTCAACCCAACCCAAACCAAATCTCAGCCAGTCTGCAGTTTCTACTCACCACCACGTGGAAGGGGCTGTTGGGAATGTGCTCCCCTCCGAACCGGATAGTGATGATGTACTGGCCGGGTTCTGGAGCCGTGTAGTAAATATCAAATGTCCCGTCGGTGTTCTCCACCACGTCCACATCCAACTCCGCTCCGTCTGGCGTTGACACCTTGCAGGTGACTTTACCTTTCCCAGCATCCTTTGCGTCCACAGTGATGACCGTTTCCTCTCCGATCTGGATAGTCGGACCAAGACCTGAACCTGATGAGGAGAGCAGGGTGTCGTTGTTTGATACCAGCTAACCGTCCGGGACCTGTGGGAACTGGGTTCTGGTTTTCAATCATGCATGAGTCTAGCTAATTCATTTCCTTAGTGTTTTCATTTCTTTTCTGGATCTTGTGTTCATCAAGAAAGGAACTTTCCAAGATGAGCAACTCTGCATCCTGAACACCCTGGTTCTTTGTTTGAAGGAGGATCATTGACTCATAATGTGCTTGTCACACCTGGTTACCGATTGGACAGAGGTGGCTTGTTGATTTGGTTTTAATACCGTAGGAAAAATTGAAGATTTGACGGCAAGTCCTACCAAGACCACAGCTGAAGAAAAGACTACGTCTACAATCAGACTCTGAATGTGAGCCAGAGGTGGGAAAGGTACCTTCACCCGGTCCTTCCCAGAGACAGTCTGGATCTGTGTCTGAATCCAGTGAGACGGTTCAGAGGACCTGAAGAATCCAGGCTGGGTGGATGACCAACCTATCTTCTCTGGTTCAGTAAGTCCAAGATCTCAGCCAGTTTGAAGGCGTGAAAATAAGACATTTGCTCCACATTAACTTGTTTGTAAGTGAATCTGCTGGTCTCAAAGTAGACCAGTCTGGGTCTGTTGTGTGACAAGGTTCACACATCAAACCCAGGTTTGTGTGAACCAAATCAGATTCTAATTCTGCCCGGCAACAGCTGACAGAATCTGGGTTTTATCAGGTTGACCATCTGGAGACGCAGCTTGGCTGACCAAGCAGCTGAAAGTTTTCTCTCAAAGGCATGTCCAAGGCCTGTGCCACCAACTAGATGTTTTAGAAATACGAATTTGATTTTTTCCCCTCTGGGTTTGAGAAAATCTGCATGGTTAGAAACAGAGTAATACCTCTGCTCCACCAGCAGGTGATTCAGCTGTAGCTAACACAGTTCGATTTCTGTTATGAACTTCTTCTCCTTTTAAGTGACCTAAAACATAAATATGATTTTTTTTTTCACACTAAGCAGCAGGAAAACTGGAGGAATTCAGAGAACATTTATTCTCAGTTCCTTTGAGTCTTTGTTGTTCATTTGGTTTTGATGAAGTAGAAAAATAAAGAATGCAAACATTTAAAAAGCTGCAGCATGAATTTAATTCCTACAGGAGAACCTGAGTGACTCTCAGTAAAACATCAGCAGTTTGTAGAAAACTCACCCAGTCCGTGTCCCCCAATGGAAACTGAAAGGAAACAACACAGTCAGCAAGACTGAATTTGATTGGTGATCTGAGCAGCGGTGGGCGGAGCCTGACCTGTGACCAAACACTTGCTCGCGTCCCCGGTGGGCACAGCGTGGATCCTGTAGGGTGAGAACGGGATCTCGTCCCCTCCGTACTTGATGGTGATGGTGTAGCGTCCCGTTATGTCCGGTACATAGGACACCGTGTAAGTCCCGTCCCGGTTGTCCCGGATGTTGGCCGCCTTGGGTTTTCCCTCCGGGTCCTGGTTTGACACGGAAAAGAAGTTAGCGGACTGAACGGTTTCATCACTGGTCTCGGACCATCAGCCACTGGGAACAGCACTCTGATTGGCTGCTGGACTTTGGTAGACTTCAGTTTTTATTGTGGTTCGGTCAGAACGAAGCTTCAGGAACATCTCATTTTCAGACATGGACATTTACACACAGAGCCTCCAAAAGTATTCACTCCTTCATCCTAAGGGTGTGAATACCTTATAGGACTTGTGGTTGGAGTGAAGCATGAATGTCGGCCTTGCTTTATTCAAGCAATATGAGCAGCTGCTGTGGTTCTCTTTCTCTGCTCTGAGTCAAACCAACCTGTTGCCCTCCTGGCCTGTGGGGGCGCTGCACCAAGAACCACTGAAGGAAATTACACAAAAACCTCTGAAGACACTGAGAGCAGCTTCCTTCTTCACCAGATGGAAACAAGATGGAGACGTCAGATTTTAGCAGTTGGAGGATTTCTCTTTAGTCTTTGGCTAAAGACCAGAAGCCATTTCTGCTGCTAGCACTAGGCTAGCATGTTAGCTTTGGTTGTTTTTACCCAGAATGCCCTGCGCTACAGTCTGCTTCCTGCTTTTGGAGCGGTCTCTGCTCTGCTTGGCATTCACATGTGCATTCAAACCAAACCAGAGTTCACTTCAACCAAACCCAGACCGAGGTTTGGAGGACCAGAGGTCAGAGGTCAACTAGCATTCACACCTCACCAACCGAACCAGACTCTCTAGGAAAGTGGACTGGAGTTGGATTAAAGCTCACACATGGCTGATGTGAATGCACTCTACGCTGAGGTCCAGTGGAGGACTGAAGCCTGATTGGCTGCTGATGGTCTGAGGTCAGTGCTGTTGGGTCGGCGGGATCTACGGAGAACCAGAAGTTAGTCTGGAGGAACATCTGGCTGTTAGCTCAACCCACAAACTGGATGGAGTCAGTCCGCATGTAGACCACAGAGGGGTGGGGGGTGAAGCATGACACACATCAGAACCAGTTCTATATCTGGTGGAACTTCTAACTGGATCAGCCCAAACACACCTGGGAGAGTCTGAGAAGGAAACATGTAAAGTTTGCTGCTAGTTTCATAACTGGTTCCTATAGTAAGTTTTTCTGCTGTGGCACTTTGAACTACCTTGTTGAAATGTTTGATATTAAAACTAGCTGTCTAATACTAAACCTGTCATGATCCAGTTAAACCTGGAAGATCCTGATGTGTTGTAGGAAACAACCGGAGCACCTAAAGCAAGTGGCTCTGTGGCGAAGCAGTGAACGGCGATGAAGGGGAGGCAGCGAGGGAGGAGGAGGGAAGGGTGAGGATGAAGGTGAGATGGGGTGAAGAGGTCACAGCCTTACGCAGCCTCTCCTCAGAATACTGAAGGGGATGGTTTTCTTTACTATGTGGGACTGCCACACCCTCCTGCCCCAGTCCTCCACAAACAGCGAGGCCTCGCGCCTGCACCCGTCTGGGTCCTGCAGCGCCAGCAGCCGGGTCGGGATTAGGAGACAGATAACAGAGCATGGTGAGGCTACACTTCCATCACCTGCCTCACCAGACAGTTGTGTTTCACTGAAACCAGAGTCTTACTGGTTTCAGCTCCCACACTGCAGATCAATGGCGGAGACGGTTCTGAAAATCGCTTGGCAACCTGCTGGACTCACCAGGATCTGGACGGTGAGCAGTCCTTCTCCAGCGTCCCTGGCGTCGATGGTGAACTCCACGGGCAGACTGGCTGGGACCCCGGAGGCGTTCAGGCCCGGACCGCTGGCCCGGACTTTGCTGGCATCGTGAGCCGGGAGGGTCTTGATCTTAAAGGGACTGAGAGGAGACGGGTTGACGGGTCACTCCTGGTTCTGGAAGTCTAACCTGCTCAGCAGTCTGCTTGGGACAAACCTCCGAGGGACCTCCTGGTCGGCGTATTTCACGCACACGGTGTATGGCCCGTCACTGGCCGGGGTATAGTTAACCGTGTGGGTACCATCCCCGTTGTCTGTGATGCTGAGCGGCTCGGCCACACCTGGGGACAGAACGAGTTCCACCAATCAGCTGGAGCTCCAGGTAGCAACTTACTGGGCCTCATCAGAACCAACAGCACCAAGATGGAGCGAATCAGGGAAGGAAAACCAGTTTCAGTGGCCAGAGGACCCTCATGATGCTAACGTGTCAAACTGGTTCCTCCTGCTGTGCTCAATAAAGTTACTGCAAATGAATTTACCATTCATTAGCATAGCTACGGAGTCAGAAATTAACAGTAATAATTCTTATGTAGTTTGACAAAACGTGAGGATTCACTTATGTTAGTCATATTTTCACTATGCTATGTTTAGCTAGCAAGCTAAATATTTAGTGAAAAGCTAAGTACCAAAATAATAGCTGGGCAGCAGCAGAGATGCATCAGTCATCAGGATTCAGTCTCACCATCAGGATTTATATAGATGTTCTCAAGACTCAGCTTGTATTTTTATAGTCTGCTTCCGCCTATCGGCAAGTGAATTAGCATATCAGCTAAATATTTAGTTTATAAACTAAAATATTTAGCTAGCTCAGACCTAACTACACTGCTCAAAAAAAGAAAGGGAACACACAAATAACACATCCTAGATCTGAATGAATGACATATTCTTATTGAATACTTTGTTCTGTACAAAGTTGAATGTGCTGACAACAAAATCACATGAAAATCATCAATGGAAATCAAATTTATTAACCAATGGAGGCCTGGATTTGGAGCCACACACAAAATTAAAGTGAAATGTTCCCTTTATTTTTTTGAGCAGTATATCTATTTTGTAAACTAAATATGCAGTTATCTCAAAACTAAATACAAATCTAGATGGAGCTAAATCGCTAGCTCTCTCATTTATGTTTTATTTCTTCAGTGAGACGTGGGGGGATGAAAACCCGCCTGATTGTAAAGACGTGTCCTTGGCTGACCGTCTCACCTGTGGGTCCGTAGATCTGGACCTCCAGAGGAGCCAGTCCCGCCTTGCTGCTGTCCACCGTGAAGGTCTGAGGAACATGAGCGCGGACTCCTCCTCCCAGTCCAGGACCAGAACACCTCACCTTACTGGGATCGACCAGCTGCCGGACCGGGACACGAAATGGGCTTCCTGGAGAGAATCAGAGAGACGGTTAGCTGTTTGCTGAGAAGAAGCGACCCTGCTGGGCTGACCTCTGACCTGGGATAGGGAGGCCTCCAAAGGAGATGTTGACGTCGTATTCTCCGGGAGTGAATGGGATGTAGTCCACACTGCAGCTGCCATCCTTGTTGTCTTGACAGGACATCTTCGCCTCTGAGGGACCTTCAATGGCCAGACCCAGTCCTCCAGTGCCGGCACCCCTTAAAACAGGACACAGGGAATTCAGTCCAAACGGTCCCGTTCCTGTGGGTTCTGGGAGGTTTTAGACAGCAGAACATAGTTACCTGGTTTCAACAGTAAAGATGTTTGATTTGTTCACAAGTCCTTCTTTCAGCCCAGGACCGAAGGCTCGGACCCGACTGGGGTCGCAGCCCTCGGTGATTGACACCCTGAAGGGACTCTTTGGGACGGAGACGTCATCCAAAAGAACCTCAATCAGGTGCAAACCTGGAAACACAGAGACATTAGTTCCAGCTGAGCAGCAGAAACCAAACGGTCAGTGAAGGCATCATGGGTCCACAGCACAGAGGAACGATGAAGGAATGATGGTGGAACAACGGAGGAACGATGGAGTGAAGGAGGAGCGATGAAAGAATGATGGAGGAAAGACAAAGGAACAATGGAATAACAATAGAACGACAGAGGAAGGATTGAGGAAGGATTGAGGAACGGTGGAGGAACGATGAAGGCCCTTCAGATTTAAAACGGTGTGGTGGGCCCAATGCATCTTGGGACATCATGGTAAATGTTCAGTAGCAGTCTGATTACTCTGAGGTTTCTAATGAAGATAGAAAACGCAGTTTAAAAGCCTCTCCAGGACGCATCAGGGTTTGAAACCAGCAACCCTTCAGTTCACTGTGTGTTTCTGTCTGGCTGGAAATAAATACCAAGTATTCGCGTCCCATGATGCACTGGGCCCCAGCATGTTACTATGAGTGGAAAGCATGCAGAGCTTCTGCAGCTATTAATACCAGCAGCTCCCTGCTCTCCCTCTGGGGCTTCATTTACTCTGAAGATCAGCAGGAGAGCTCCAGAACCAGAACCATGTCCTTCCCTGCTGCTCTGGCAGCACAGAAACAACTCAGGCTTTCTGAGCTCTTCAATTACAAGGTGAAGAGGAAACAGCAGCAGATCTTATCTGGTAGACGAACCGTAGCTGAAACGCTTACCGTCTTCGTAAGGCGTGTACTCCACTCTGCAGGTCCCGTCCGCCTGATCGGAGACGTAGGCATCCGTGTTGGCGCCGGACGGGTTGGACACCTGGACCTTAATGTGGCTGCCTCCGGCCTTGTAGAGCGACCGGGTGTCGACCATGAAATGGGTGGTGACCTCCCTCAGGACGCCTACAGGGAAAAACACAGTCAGGCTGGAGGCAGAGGAGAGTCAGGAGGTCCAGAACATCTGGAGGAGGAGCGACCCAAAGCAGCAGGAAGATTCTGGAAAACTGCAACAACAAGATCCCAGAACCTGTAGAGACACTCTGCAAGGTATAGAACCAGCAGAACCATCAGAACCACCAGAACTAATAGACACGTTTCGATCCAACCCACCTGAATCATT